CATAGTTTATAAAATTGATCGATTGAATAAATTATATTCATAACTCGTTGATATACGAATTTTCTATAAGACAGGACAATTAGAGTATGTTAAAAAAGAATGTATGATAAGCAGAATGGCCGCTTTGATAATGATTAATTGACCTTTTAGAGCAGATTTATAACTCACGTGAGCAAACTCGTGCAAGATAATATACTGTTTATTAATTATTAAAGAGATAAGAATTGATAATCCACCCATTAGCTACTTTATGAAATTAAGGAAATAATTAATTTGGTGCAAACACATTTGTTTAGTATCCTATTCTGAAATCTTTCCTCGCGGGATCGTTGTCTGGTACATTCTCAACTATTTTATTTCAACCACTGGACCTTATTAAAACCAGGCTTCAAAGCAAAGTAAATCTTCATCTTGAGTAAGTGGAAGATGATAGTGGACTCTAAATTCGCGATGATCTGTATTTTTATATCAAACATTTTTTGGTAGCAATCCGAGAAATGGAACCTTGGGAATAATAATTCATATAATTAAGAAAGAAAATGTATCTGGTCTCTGGAGGGGTATGACTCCGGTAAGAATTCTAAAATCATTCAATTTTTATGTTTAAACAGAAGATATTAATCAAGAAAATGTTTTCAGTCCATTACCAGAGTTGTACCTAGTGTTGGATTATATTTCTCATCGTTGCACTGGTTAAAACATACGTTACAATTAAAAGACCCTCTCACACCTACAGAAGCAATGTTATTAGGCATTACAGCAAGATCTATGGCTGGAGCTTTGCTGATTCCAATAACAGTAGTAAAAACACGTTTCGAGGTACCTACAATCATTAAGCACATGCTTACATAACATGTGACGAGGAATGCAGTGATTAGAAACATTGATTTTGTTTAAACAGAGCGACGTCTATAAATATAGTAGTGTTGGAGAAGCATTGAAATTAATATACAGACACGAAGGAGCGAGAGGACTTTGCATTGGATTAGTACCGACGTTGTTAAGAGACGCTCCTTACAGCGGCCTTTATCTCACGTTTTATACTCAATTAAAGAATGTCGTTAGTGAAACAGGTGACGTTTTATCGCAAAGCAGAATTATCTAATTTTTCGCTGTTCTTAACATTCGTGTATTTCTCAGATTTGCTCGGCAGTAAGCCATCTCCTCCGATTCACTTCAGCTGCGGAGTGTTAGCAGGAATACTAGCTTCCATCATAACACATCCGGCTGATGTGATTAAGACGAAAATGCAATTATATCCGAATGAATTTCGAGGCGTTCGTAATACGGTTCTCAGGATTTATCATAAGTATGGCATGATGGAATATTTCAAAGGAATCGTTCCACGAATGTTGAGAAGGACGTTAGTGACAGCAATGGCTTGGACCATATACGAGGAGGTAACCAACATCTCTTTTCAATCCTTGCATTTTTTTTTATTGTCGGGACAATCGTTTAAGAAGCAAATCACATGTTTTCCAGGTTACAAAAAGTATAGGGCTTAATTGAGACAGTTCGTACGTACGGCGGAATGAGACTCAATCAATCGATATACCACATATTTACACTTGTACAGTATTTTTAATCTGAACAAAAAGACAGTTCGATTTTAGCAGACAATTGTATTATAGCAAATATGTACAGTATTCAAATAGAACATCCTATCTCGCTCAGTAATGTATTATTAATGTATATTACTTATTTAATAAATTTTATAATTTGTTAAAGATTGTACAGTGATTCGTTTCATTGAAAAATTCTGTCTACTTCGATGCTCGTCAAAAAAACCTGATGATATTCATTGTTGTACTGGTTTATTTGTTTTAACTAACAATCTTATGAGTATTACAATCCAAAGTATAAACAAATTCATCTCCGTCTGTTTTATATCTATCTATTATATATGTGTGTAGCCTAAATTAACATTTGCTTTCGAATATGAATAAATTACTAGTAAAATTGAAATTTAAATTCTTTCCGGCATTATAATTATTCGATTTATCGTAATCAACTTTCATAGAACAAGGACACGACGAAAAATGAACTCAAACGCAATTGTATAAAATTCATTATTGAAATTTGTTTTGAGATTATGCAAAATCTTTACCTTAATATTACATTAAGCAGTGTGCACGTGAGCCTGTTGCATCGGTTACGTCCCCATGGCATGACTTCTGTCTGAAAAGAGATAATAAAGTCTTGGAAAACGATGATATATCATTATATTTTTGTTCATATTAATATCCGCCGTTTTCGAATAGCAGGATAATATATCTGTATTATTTGTTAATCTTACGCTAAACAAGACGCATTTATCAAAATATTTTCATGTTTCTCTCGGCTACATGTGTGAAAAAGCAATTTACGTAATTGAATCGTCTTGCAACATCGGAATTAAAAAAAATATGTATTACGTTGTACAAGATCCAATCTATAGACTATGTATTTATCAAATATCTGTAAGCAATGGCTGCTGGTTAAAGTAGTACAGTAATATAAGGATGAAATGAAGGCGAAGTGAAAATATTGAACGATGACGGTGAGAATTACTTATTTTCTTTGGAACTGTCTCGTCCCAGTGTAACGACACAGGACGAGCCCTTCTTACGCAGGCTATTACTTTTGTATTACATACATACTGTTTTAATCTAAGTGATCCAGAAAGCAGATTATCAAGTGTGCAAATGAGTCGATAATTATTGTAAGTCGATATGAGTCACACAAATGTGGTGCGCGCATAAAGTACGAGATTTCTGTAAAGCCGAAATGAAGGGCGCGGCGAAAAGAATAAGACAAGATATGATTAAAAGAGGGACGTCCTCGAAGTGCCGTACGACACAATCCACGTGACCTGTCGTCAACCTTTAAATCTGTAGCTGTACCATAAAACTGTTTGAATCACGATTATCTAATAAGAAAATTTGACTGAGCTTTGCCATGTCCTATCTTTCACAACTAAAAATAACGGAGAAAAAGGCATGCAAAGGGAAGAATATGCATCGTATACGACACACGTTTGTTGAACTTTCATAAACGAACGTTCAAAGGGCTACCATACGACTGTATACCAAGTTATAATCTCGAATTATTCACTGCTGATCGTTTACACAGCCCTAGGGCTATCAGAATCGTATTTTTGATCTCTGTTCAAATGATTAAAATTGTTCCTTCGACTCCGTAGCAGATATTTCACCTGACCTATTGACTGATAAAACGCTGCTTAGTCTTGATTCGAACGGTCCAATAAATCGCAGTCGGGGAGGTAGGGAAGGTAAGAGCAGGAAAGATTTTGTTATCACAATTTTTTTAAGCACTTGAATATATACCGCTCGGAAATAAAGATATCACCAATTTGAAAAATGTCTAACTTTCCTAATAAAAGGACATGTTTGGTATTATCATTCCGATATAAATACCTCAGAAATGCGTAGTAGAAGCTAGGATTGTATAGTCACAGTCACACACAGGGCACTGTTGTGGCAGGTCTACGGAAGTAGGCACTGTTTCCCTCCACTAAACCACTAATTTCTTTTCGACAAAAAGCTATGCAATCATTGAAATTACATAATTGATTTACCCTATGAAGACATTATACCGAATCAAAGCAAGCATAGGTATACCTTCTCCTATCTTGCTCTGTAGACAATATCTATAATACTACATGATAAAAATACCTTTCGGATGGGAACAACTTTACTATTCCTTTGCTCGACATTACCTCGATGCACACCGTTTTTCATTCAGTAATACGTTTACACAGAGCAAGCTCGTCACTTTCAAAATTAAACGCTGTACAAACAGGTCCATATGAACATTTAATAAGAGTGTGTCTCCGATTAATAGGCAGGCACCAGAGACACTGGCTCGCTGTGACTATGCCGTTCTCTCTTTCTCTTCAAAATTACAGATAATTATCATGTATATATTATGTGCATCTAATGAGAACTCACCTGGTAAACAACCTGTACAGTAATTGAGACGAATATGGTATATTGTTTAGTGCATACCTGGCTTACTTCTCACTCACTAACCAATCAAGAGTAGTTACTTGTGACTTCGACTTCGAGATCGATGGCGGCGTCGGTTGTGATGACTCGAGCTTCGATGATCACGATTCCCTGATAATTCCAACACATACGTTTAACGATCTACACGACGTTCAATCATATGCACGGAACGTTAAAAATCTAATTACCTTTGTCCCGAGCATGGCGTCGGTGATCATCATCTCGATGTCTGTCATGCTTGTCTCTTGATCTGCTTCTACTTCTGTGTCCCGAGTTTCTAAACATTCACGGAACAAATGTACATTTTCTCTCATAACATTACGCATGACTTTCTTGTAAAATGATTTACCTGTGACTGCCTGAATCGTGCCTGCCTTTATCATCTTCACGTCTGCGGCGCTTGTCCCGTTCCCTGTCCCTGTCTCTGTCATCTCTTCTTCGTCTATCGAGCTCTTCATTAGCACGCGCTCTCTGTTTCCTATCTTCTTCCCTTCTCTGTTCTTTTTCATCTCTGGCTTTCTCACGTTTACTCTGCAATCGTCATTGTATTGAATAATATACGTATTTAATAAAGCGGTTACTTAAAAATGATGAATTACCATAATTTCTTGAAGAGCACTCTTTAATCTAGCATAGCCAACATGTTGTTTACCCATTAAATGATCGTCGATTCTTTGCTGAGCATCTCCAACAATAAGAAATGCACCACAGACATCGCATACCTCCATTTGTTTCTCCTGGGCAGCAGCTAATTCAGCAGTCTGAAATAAATAAAAGATTAGATTCTTCTCTTACTATAATTCACTTTCTGATACATACCTGATTGTAATGGCTATTGTCATTAGATTTTCTCAATGTTTCCCGTTCTTCCTTTAATTGATCGCACAATCTCATTAAGCCTTGAGCCTGTTCCACGTTGCCTTGTATACCACTTTGCTCAGCCTCCTCTACCAATTTATTAATCTTCTCAGTTAAAAGTGCAATTTGCTCCTCGTTTCTCTGAGTCTGAGCCGGTGTCAATGTAGGCTACAGAAACAAAAGTTTACACATCTTTCCCCTTTACGTGTAGCAATGAAATTCCAGTAACTATTTTTATCTTACCGCTTCCGTTCTTCCTATGAGCGCTAACCGTTGTTTTCCTTTGATTATCTTTCTCTCGACCTCGTTCAACATACTTTGACAAAATCTGATAAACTCGTCCTCGTATTGCTGCTTCCGATACGAGTACGGAGCCTTCTCAAACAATTCCCTGGCCTCATCATCGTGCACTCGGGAACACGCGCCAAGATCCGCTCGCGTGTTAACGAACAAATCGTGCGGGCAGAATTTAACTAAATACAATTTACAAAACTGAAACGAGAAACACGAATACAGTGACAACTGCGACGATCTATAAGCCTTCGATTATTCGTTGGATCCTCTGATGGGTACATCTTTCAGAGCGTTTGGCATTCTCGGGAACTTACCTCAGGGTCCTCCCAGTTAAGTTCTTTAGGTTTCTCGTTGGGAAGAACATTCCTGTTCCTTCCCATAAGCTCGTCCAGCAAAGCAGCGGCAGCGGCAGCAGCCATATTTCCGAATTCTCGATTTAATTCGCGTTTATCAAGAGGATCACTGATGATTTATATATTGTACAATATATATAACTGTGCAGCTTTTGAGCTTCGAGAAAGTCGAAGCGAGTTGTGCATGCCTTCGGGAAGAATATGAGCACTTTAGACATCTAGGTTGCCATTCTGTAACTATACAGTCGGTGTCAAAGTGCTTCTCTTATTTCGTTAATCATTGACTTTCCGAGTTCCGAATCCGAGAGTTCGGTTGGTTCGATTTGTGTTACGTTACGATAATCGGAAGAATTGTGACAAGAAATGTCCCGAAGAGCACTCACAGCGATTAACTGGGCCGCTCTCGCCGAGCGAATCCCAGAAACCGAGAAAGCTGCCTTGGCAGCTTTCAAATCCAAGTCCGATAAATATTTACAACGGTTAGTAACATTCCCAAATTCAATACATTTGGACATTTGCTTGTTACATAATATTTCTACATGCATAAATGAAATTCTGTATAAAAAGCATATTTAAATAAAATGTGTTTAGTCTTAGAAGATACAATTAGGATTCTTGTTGTAGCCACTCTTTCCACAAGTGGCAAAAGCAATCTGTCACAATGGATACACCTTATGGTATCTACAAGAATGGCATTAAAGAATAATTTATGTTTTATAGGATGAACGCGAATCCTGAAGCTATGCCAAAAATTGATTGGGAATATTATAGGAAATCTGTTATAACTCCCGGTTTAGTAGACAAATTTCAAAAGGAATTTGAATCCCTGCAAATACCATATCCAGCGGATAAATATACAGCAGCAATCGATGCTGAGAAAAATGACCTAGTAATATTTGTAGATATTATATACATCCATATTTTATATATTGAAGTTGCATTTTGTAAATCGTATTACAGGCCAAAAAGATAGAAAGTTTCAAGCAAGAGTTGGATGGTTCAACTGTAGAAATACAGAAAATTTTGGATAGCATAAATGCTATGATACCATACGCTGAAATGACAATGGATGATTATTGCGAGGCAGTTCCAGATGGGTTCATGAGAACCGATATAGTTACAACTTGGCCTCACACAGAAGAGACTCAAGAAGATTTGAATGCACCATTGACTCGAACTGATGATCATTAATCAAAGTTAACTTTAAAATGTACTATAGTCTTATTGTATATTAATTACATCCTATTACTGAATTGCTATTATACTCGCAGTGTATTTAGTTAAAAAAACCTTTATAGTAAAACTAAGGTCAATGTCAAATACACAGCGTGAGCTGATTCACTGTATTTAAAAATTGGAATATTCCAGCTGCTATTCTCTTCATCATCCAGATACACTATGTCCTTTGTTCATTATTTATTCATTCAAAAATTACTTGGAATCATTCATTTGTACGAAAAACTCTCGTAAAAATTATTTAAATAGGATTAACCCTTGATAAACTACAAATCTGCATGGCGGAGATTCGTGAGTCGCCATCACTGATTTTCTTTAATGGCCAATACGGTCCCATGCAATATTAAAATGAATCGGATACTCGATCAATGTTGATTCGATAGTTTTCTCAGTTAATTCATCATCATAGAGGTATAACATAATTATGATGAGGATTCTTAATTACACGTGCAGTGACGAAATAACTCAATTTGCCTCGAATATAATGTTTCATGATGTGCCGTTCTAGTTCAAACGATTCGATCCATTTGGAACGCAGCTCGTATTCATTAACTGGTACAATTTTTATTAACCCTTTTATCTTTCTTTTATTTCTTTCAACGAAATACGGAAAAAATGTGGATTATATCAGGAGTACGAACGATACGCGATGTTTATAGAACAATGTAGAAGGTAGAATCTTGTAGAATCATGCCATTCGTACGAATTGCCTGGTTGGTTCTTGTATATCCACCTAAAATTGTTCATTTAAAACAGGTACGCAGATATGATTTTCGGAAAATTCCATGGGACCTTCGATATTTGGGTCATTGGACGAACAGAATCGTCACCAGCTTTGATTTTTGCTAAATTATAAATTCGTGGAGAGGTACTCCGCGTTGATCGGTTGTTGTCGATATACGGTGTGTATGAACCTATAGATCGAACGCGTGGAGAATCGGTTACGATACCGTTTTACCCTTTGATACTTTCTTTCGATTATTAGTAAAGAACATATATTTTTCACGGGAAATCAAAGTGTGTTCTACGCGTTCACGGGATCGCTTCGCGAAGCGAACGTGATATACTTGGATAAACCGAAGCGGACACTGCGACTGCTGATCGCTACATGAATTATCGTATCTTTTATACGTAAATAACATGAACGTCGCTTTTATTTGACAAATTTTCTAATGGATTTTTGATAGTATTATGCAATCTCGCCAATTTTTTTATTATTAATTTTCATTTATTTCATGACCGCTGAACATTTTTGTCCGCCAAAGATGTGGGTGCGAATAATGTAACCTTAGGGATACGTGAAAGTGATTGAATTCCGATGAATTACACTCGGCCGTAGCGTACTACTCACAGTTCTATGTTTTTCTTTTATTATTTATTGATAGAGAAAAGTTATTACCTGTGATTAGCACATCATTAATGCAGAGTGTAGGTCATGCAGATTGTCTGCAGAGTAATGTAATGAATAGCTGTGGGAACTCTAATATTAGCACAAAGCTACGTGGATCCAAGTGTTCGGAGATACAGGAAGAATCCGTCAGTAATAATCGAGCTGGTGTATTGGAGAAAGGAGATGTTAACGTTTTAACTGGGTACAACTCGAATGATTTTAATGCTCCAAGAGATACTTTGGTCATTTGTCAAAGAACCTCGAACTACCCATCTGATCATAGCTTTTCCAGATTTAAACCAAGGTAAATCATCTCTTTCCAACAGTGACACATGTTAAATGTTTATTTAATAAATCGTTGGAAATATTACAGAATTGGTGCTCCACGAAATGAATTTCGAATGGCTCGCGGAGGCAGCTCTGGAGATCGTGCCAGAGGGGCATTACGGGGTAGGGCTTTTAAGAAGACGTCTACCGAACGGGATGCCAATACGGAAACTAGCTACTATCCCACAACCAGATCAAAATTTCAAGAATCGCTGAAAAATCAAGAAAATGCCCAGGGGAAATATTACGATGACAAAAGAATAAATGGTACGTATTTCCTTTACTTCTCAGATAAATACAACGGTTTCATCTATCACATTTTAACGCATGCAACTATTAAATTGTACTGTAGAAGATTCTCGAATTTCTAAGCTTTTGAGAAGGTTGTACAGAGAAGATGATTACGATCATTTTATGACCCTATGCAAACAAGCACAGGAAGGTATAATAGCGTCTGAAAATCAGAGATATATAAGACGAAATTTAGACATTATCTGTGAAAGTCTGTTAGACGTATTGTACACTGGTCCTGGACCCGAAGCGAAACAGCAAGTCGCGAAATGTTTGGGTCGCGTTGGGTACGCGGCCGAACAAGATTTCAAACGGTAAACGAATGAACTTTGCGAGACCGCGAGGTAGTCGTTCGTATCTAAACGAAATTCTGATTCGTAAATTCGCAGGTACATGGATTGGGTTTTCAATAAATGTTCGATGGAACGAAAAGATGATATAAAGTGCCTTCTGATAAAATCGTTCGTCGAAGCTTTCAAATTGGACGCGGAAACTTCGAGGCTGAAAGAGTTCTCAGTGGTACTTGGATATTTCATTGACTTATCCCGCGATTAACGATGTACACGATAAAGCGAACACTACGTATTTTTCCAGCTGATGATGTCGCAATTGCAATCGACTCTCGAGAATGTCGATCGGTCAGATTTGCTGGTAGCAACGGTGGACGCAATATTATTAATAATGGAATCTTATCCCGAGACATTTTCAAATCATTTTCGTGACACCGTCGACATACTGGTCGGTTGGCACATCGATTCGACTCAGCAGAAGGCAGTCGCAGCCTATGCAAGCCGCAGTTTGCAGAGATTGCGGTCTTTCTGGATAGCGGATTTACAGTTTACGTTGACGTTACTGGGTCAGTTCTTGGAAGACATGGAGAGTTACGACGAGGAACTGTCTTTACCAGAATCCGGTAGAAGTTCACCCGGCGATGAGGCATCTCCGACGCCCAGAGAGTGCATCCGTCGCATCGCGTCCCTGATTTCGGTGTTCAACACAGTTACGAAAAGTATATCCGAGCATTTGAATCCCAATCTGACGCCAAATGTGCAATGGTCATTTTTATCCGACTGCTTATCGAAGATGCTTAAGACGGTCGTCAAAGCGATCGAATTAGACGACGATAACGATATCTGGCTTTCGAATTATTCTCTCACCACCGAGAACGCTGATCTATTATTGAAACGCTTCAAAAACTTGGGGATTGTTCCACCGAAGAATTCCATCAAATCCGAACCAAACGAAGAAAATATTGTTCACATGCTGAAGTCCTTGAATTTGAATAAAAATGAACTTAAAACGTTGAGACAGAACATTGAGAAGGAGACTTTGACGGAGGAAAGAGTGTTAATGTTGAATGCCGTGCGATGGATGGAATTGAAAGGAAAGAAAGATTTCGATCTAGACGAGGAAAAAGAAGAACTCATAATTGTCGCGAACGAATGCGCATTCTTATTACTAGGGCATCTTCAGAGTCGCATAACGAAGAACCATGAATTACTTTACAAGTTCATCGATCTTCAGTTGAAGAGAATTAATAGTTTTTGGGATGACACAATAATTTCTATGTTGAACACTATTTCGAAAATAATAAAAGAGGTGTCCGCAAATCTGCCTCTGGAACTAGTACACAAATTGCTTGGGAAGGACTCTGCGTTACTCAAACTGAGATTCCGCAATTCGATACCCATCCAGAATGCCAGTCTCGGGGTGTATCATAGTCTACTTAGTTTAAAGAATATCCCATTGCTACAGGAATCGTACCGCTACATATTGTCTGATTTGGAGATCGCTTATAAGCTGATCTTAGCAGATATCGAAAGTTTAGTGGCAGATAATCCGTTGATAGACGATATTAAATATAAGACGAACGACACAGAGATTGTAGTTACGTTTCTGCTAAGAGCTCTCTCTGACATAGGTAAATACATCGATCGAAGTATCAAATTCAAGTATAATTATTCGAATTCATGTTTTCAGCGAACGCGAGTAACTCGATCATCGGTATGTGGGCATTAAAACCGAGCGTTTTGGAGCTGTTGGCAGTCAAGTTGAAACCTTACGACATCAGTTTATCAACAACTAGCCCGTTCTTGCAATACAGCATCTTGTATTTGCTTTACGCGCATTGCTCCAGGTACGTCTCGAGAAGAAACAAGAAGTTCCCAAACTCTGACTTAAAAGTATCATCGTATCGTTCTTTTTTTTTCAGATATAATCATTTTGTGCCGAGTTCGAGTTTAATAACTGGAACTACCGCTTGTCGTCCGATAGACATGTTTCCAGCTGCGCTGGACGTTCCAACGACGTCGCCTACTAGTGGTCACCTCTCTATCATCCTGAACGTAATAGCCAAAAGCTACAACGAACATACACCGGAGCAGACGCTGCTGCTTCTGTCAACGTGGATGCAGGAGATTTACATACAATCGGAGAATTACATTGGCATCTTGAGTAAAACGAAGGAATACGAGAACGTCCTCGCGAGTCTTATTTCCTGCGGAGCGTCCATCGACCAAGACATCTCTATTGCCGTTTGCGATCTCTTTGAAATATTGATGAGCGCGAAGAACGTTACTTGGAAGGAAGAGATTTATGCGTCCATCGTCGATCTGGTGATGCTGCATCTGACCTCGCGGGATGAGATCGTGCGCGAGAAGTATGGCTCGCTGTTGACTCGGGTACCCTTGAACATCGTGATACCGAAACTGAACAGGGAATACTTACTGTCGGAAACGAAGAAATATCAGGGAATGAAGAATTATTCGACCGAGTCTTTGATCTTCGCTCAGAGACTGCACATGCGGGGAAACAATAACGGTGAAATGCAAGCGCAGCACTTCAAGACTTACATGGCTTTTCTGTTGCAAGAACAATATCTGGACGCGCCTGGATTGTCTGAAATATTCACGTTGTGTTGGCCGATCATATCCGAGAGCGAAACTACGAAAAAGATGTATCGTCTAGCTCTCGCGAATCGATCTTTTCTATACTTCTGGGCTGGTTTCGAGGCGGCTCAGCATTGCGTAACGAACAAGCTGCGTACTTCGTTAGGAAAGCCGCAGGAAACGTTTACCTCGATCGAAAGTGCTTTGAAGACACTGGCACGTGAGATATCGTACAGCTGCGAGACGACGAAGAAAGAGAAACGGTGCTTGGATCATCAATTAACCGAGCATACCCGCGTGCGACTCTTCATCGAATTCCTCGAGCATCTCGAGAGAGTTATTCACAACGCTGCTGAAGGCTGCGCGATAGCTTTGTTACCATTATCGAAGCCAGTCAGGACATTTTTCCATACGAATAAATCGACTTGTAAAGAATGGTTGAATCGTATTCGGTTAGCGCTATGCGTGGTATCGTTGCATTCTGGATTGGCTACTAGCGCTTTGCGAAACAGTCAAAGGTTGTTGGAGGATTTGAGTAACAGCGATAATACCCAGGGGATCGAATTCGAGAGAGCGACGTTGTGCACAGCGCAGGCGATGGTGATGTTGGGCGAAGCAGAGGCGCTTCAAGGTCTGTATGTGTATACTAAAGAGAGGGAGAGAAAATTCTCGTGGCTGAAAGCTGCAATGGAAGAAGCCGCGAATCATTACGAGTCCGCTGCGGAGGCTTACAAATTGATCATCGAAGAACACATGCGCCTCACCAATAGTCGAGCGAAAGATTTGGAGCAAGAAGAAGACGGCGAAGACGAGGGAGATAGCAGTGCTGCGGCTGCAGCGGAAGCTTGCGAGGAACCTGTTTCCGAGGGAAAATGCAAGAGCTTCAAGTCCGACGGTGACAACCAAGTGCTCTCATTCTGTATGCAACGACTCTGTTATTGTTACGAAGCCGTCAGCGATTGGTCTCAGTTAGAATCCTGGAAACAGCAACAAGCCGAGATCCTCGCTCCTTTCAGGAAGGATTTGTTAACAGGAAGCAACGCTTCTCGACAAGCAAGATGCTTGAGGAAATTCGAGAATAACGAGGACATATGCTTGGATGATTTGACGGATTGGAATTTGTTGAATGGGAGAAATGACAAGGCCGGTAACTGGAGTTGTTCGAAGAAGTTAGTGGAATGCAGTAATAGCTTAACTAACATCGCGCTCAGACTTCATGTGAACGAGTTCAAAGATTACTTTGACGATGAAATCGAACGATGTCGAAGGGTAGCAGCCAAAACTATGGAGGAGGGCTTGAGGAACGTTCCTTCGGAATACATGAACGAGTCAATATTGGTACGGTTCTCGGCAGATGGGTTAAAGAATTTGCTCTCTGGTAAAGAGGAGAACGTATTCGAGTTGTACAAGAGCGAGAAACTTGACCAAATGAATTCAAGCGTGCTGACGCGAACGTTGTGGTGGTCAGAGTATTTCGGGAAAGCGAAAAAGGGCGAAGCTGAATTGAATAGCAACGAGGTAACCGATTTGCGACTGCACATCGTTCGCACCGCTAGGAAGGAGGGAAACTTTGAGTTAGCAAAACGCGAGCTCTTCAACTATCTACGATCAGAACGAGAAGTGTGTCGATTTGAAAACCACAAGAAAGATCACATGAATTTGGACTTGGACCAACTGACCGACGACGTTTTAAAAAATATAATTCACGTCAAGTGGTCGAAGAACAACATACGCGCCTTTCGCGAGTATTCCAAATTATTATACGACATGGAATGTACCGATAGAGCCGTGAAGCTTTGTAGCGCGACCGCGCTAGGAATATCGCGAACCATCGTCGACGGACAACAGTCATCTGATTTACGAGAGAACGGTACGATTCTTCTCCTCACGCTTGGCAAGTGGATGCAGCAGGAAGTGAGCAGCAACGAGAACGGTCATTTGAAACAGTTGCTCGAATTCGAAGCTGCCCATAACGACGGCTTGATGAACAAGCTGTTCGGACCAACTGCAGACTCTATACCAGTCCCTGACATGATAATCGGTAGACTGACACAGCTCGGCGTAAATCAATGTCCAGATTTGCCGCTCGCTTGGTGCAGCTTCGCCAGTTGGTGTTACAAATGGGGAAGAAAGATCGTAGACAGTTCGAGCTCGGGTCAATTAACTGACACAGATAGAACGACCATACGAGATTTACTACCGTTCGATACGAGCGAATCTGACTTGAACGCAATCTTCTCAATTTTATCTCAAAGCAAAAGTATTCCTGAAGACGAAGGCGAGATCGCGGATACTTCTAACGATGTGAACACCTCTGACATGATCGAGACTCAATTACGAAGCGTACCTGTGCTCAATCGTATCAGTGCCGATCGTCTCGGATTACTGGTCGACATTTGGAGACAAGCACAGAAAAGGATTTATTCGTATTACGAACTTTCTGCAAACGCATACTTTAAATACCTACAATTGGCTGCCATCAAAGAAACTAACGATTGTGCCACTATCACAGCTACTTTGAGACTGCTACGATTAGTCGTGAAGCATGCTCTTGAATTGCAAAATGTTCTAGAATCTGGGCTCTCCTCGACTCCTACAGCGCCGTGGAAAGAAATTATACCACAGTTATTTTCTCGACTCAGCCATCCCGAATCTTACGTACGAACGCGAGTGTCCGAACTGCTGTGCAGAGTCGCGGAAAATTCGCCACATTTAATAACGTTCCCGGCTGTAATCGGAGCAGTCTCGGGACAGAAGAAGAATTGTGACAAAGTCCTTTACGAAAAGACAGAAAGAGACGATTCGTCGCAGAATGATTTAGACTTTATCGAGGAAGAGGACGAAATGGGTACTGACGGTTCTGGAGTTTATCAGGATGAACAGGACAAGTTTATGGACTGTTGCTTCTCGCAATTGGTAGACTGCCTGTCCAACAAAATTCAGGATTCCATCGAGCAAGTCAAGATACTCGTCAAAGAGCTGCGTCGAATTACACTGCTGTGGGACGAACTCTGGCTAGCAACGCTGTGTCAACATCATACCGAGATCTCCAAACGATTCGAACAATTGGAGATGGAAGTGCAGAAGGTGCAGGACAACGCCTGGTTAAGCCCCGAAGAAAAGGAGAAACTGATTGCGGAGAAACATCGGATCATATTGAAACCGATAGTCTTCATATTGGAGAACCTCTCGGCCATGACTTCAGTCCCGGCTGAGACACCGCACGAGAAGAACTTCCAGGAAAAATTCGGTCCCTCGATCGAAGAAGCGATTAATAAACTGAATAATCCGAAGAATCCTGCGAAACCACAAATCGCCAACACCTGTCTCAAGCAGTTGGAAAGCAAATTGGCGCAACGTGTGCACAGACGTGCAGCGTATTCTCTTTCTATGAACGACATCAGTCCGACTCTAGCGAGTCTGCGAAACACGTGCATTGCCATGCCGGGTGTGGCCGCGAATGATAATAAAATCGTGACGATAGAATCCGTGGATAGTAACGTGCAAATATTACCAACTAAAACCAAACCGAAGAAGCTCGTGTTCCATGGGTCCGACGGACATGTTTATACCTACTTGTTCAAAGGACTAGAGGACCTGCACCTGGACGAGAGAATCATGCAGTTTCTGAGCATCTGCAACACTATGATGTCGAAGAAGGGTGATTCGAAGAAAGTGTACAGAGCTCGTCATTACTCGGTCATACCTTTGGGTCCACGGTCCGGTCTGATCCAGTGGGTGGACGGAGTAACGCCTCTATTCGTGTTGTACAAGAGATGGCAACAAAGAGAAAGCGCGATGCTTAATAAAACAGGAAGTTCAGCGGTGCTGAGACCCTCGGAATTGTTCTATAATAAATTAACACCGTTGTTGAAGGAACGCGGAATCGGCTTGGAGAACAGGAAGGAGTGGCCCATTCAAATTTTGAAGCAAGTTTTAACGGAGTTGATGGCAGAGACGCCTAAAGATTTGTTGGCTAAAGAGATTTGGTGCAACAGCATAAACGCGGGAAGCTGGTGGCAAGCGACAAAAAATTATTCTTATTCTGTAGCTGTAATGTCGATCATTGGATACATCATCGGTCTCGGTGATAGACATTTGGACAACGTGTTGGTCGATCTCAACACGGGCGAGGTTGTTCACATCGATTACAACGTCTGTTTTGAAAAAGGCAAGACTCTACGCGTTCCAGAAAAAGTACCGTTCAGAATGACCCCGAATATTAGAACAGCGTTGGGTGTAACCGGAGTCGAAGGGATATTCCGGTTAGCTTGCGAGCATACGCTTCGTGTGATGCGTCGAGGGCGAGAAACGTTGTTGACTTTGCTCGAAGCGTTCATATACGATCCTTTGGTCGATTGGCGAGCTGGTGCCGACAACAGTATCGCGAGTTACGGAGCTTGCCAAGCCAGAGCCCGTTGCACAGGGATCGGAAGGAAACAATTGGAACAAGAATTAACGCGAGCGATGTTCGCCGTTCGGACCGCGGAAATGCGTGCTGAATGGTTGGCCAACAGGGATGAACTAGTAAAAATTTTTCCTTTGTTGTGTCATCATTTGACCTGTTGGGTGGAAGCGACCGAGGCCACGCGTCAGTGTCAAGATCTATTGCAAGACAGACATCAGCAACTGGCTCTGGTTAAAGAGGCTCAAGCAATGGGACGAAATCATCCGTTGTATTCCGTGACGAAGCGATACAATTCCTTTAAGAGAGCGCGCGATGCTCACGAGAAAGCGAAGACCGGGTTGAAGGAAAAGATAGAAGATTGCGAGAAGCAAATTAATTTGCATAATATGGCACTCTCGGCGGTGAAAGGACCGCAGCTGGGACAGTGGTTGGCTGAACTGGGAACGTCCACGAGCCAGGACGATCACGTTGTTTTTGATCTCGTTAAAGAGTTCCTGCAGAACGCAGGACAGAGCCAGATGATTCTCCAGTGCGAGCAATCGGAAAACGAGTTGACGCAATTGGCTACGCAACAGTCTATACTAATACGAAATTGTCTGGATCTTTTGAGCCAGTATTCAGCGATCTGCAGCTTATATCCGTTGACTAACATGTCGCAGCATCGTACAGTGCTTTATCACGGATGGGCTAACAAGCTTCTGAATTCTGGGAACGTCGAAGCCTGTCGCGAAGTGATAATCCAGTTCGAGAGCACTTTCGATCCAATCAAGAGTTCGAACAATCAACAGGTGCAACAGATAATTGCATTCTCTTATCAGATGCAAGCAATTTTGAACGAAGCGAACGAAAGATTGAAGAAGGCGTACGAAAGGATAGTTGTCGAGGGTTTACCGGAATCGGTTGGCAGGATAGAGAAGACATATACCGAATCCAGAGTACAGATCCAGAGCTTTTTGCGACGGGAGAAGGGTGCGGAGAAAGCACTCGAATGTGTTAACATAACTGCGCTTTGTGCTTTGAATAAAAGGTACCTGATGATGGAGGGTGCGGCTAAGTGCGCCGGTGATTGTTTAGTAGATCTTACGTCCAGGGAAGGGGACTGGTTCCTAGACGAGATGCGTCTGATGTCGTCGTTGATCGCCGAATTGATCAGCTTGATACCCGAATGTCATAAAACGAATAACGATCCTAAGATATCTCTCATACTGAAATGCTTAAGAAGATCCGATTGCATTTATAAAGGGTTGCAAGAATTGAATTACAATTTCCATACGATTATTTTGCCCGAGGCGATGAAGACCGTTATAACCGAGGAACCGACTGTGATCAGGATGATTGCGGAATTGACCGAAATAATCCTATCTTCCGGTATATCACTGGGTGACATCTTAGGACAGTTGGAGATGCACCTTAGATTCACCGTTATGGAGATGGATAGTCCTCACGCGATGATACAGAACGTCGTGAATAATATGAGAATACGTTTCGAAGCGTTACTATCGAGGCCTGCCGAGATCCAGGAACCGAATCAGGACGAAGCATTGACGCCTGGGCAAATGCTTCTAATGGGTTTCAACGGACTGTTTGAAAAACTTCAGATGGAAGGGAACATTCTGATTGCTACCTTGAACGCGTTGAATATTCCGCCGTCGTGGAGAAAGATCGATCAAATCCGAGAAGCGAAAGAGATGTCCGCTCCTATATTTAACAAGACGGCCTGCCAAGTTTTAGAGGATATATTCTTGGTGAAACGTTTGCATACTATACAGGAATTTTTCATGATGTGCACAGACATCGCGACAGCGTTCAAGGGTGGTCTGGCTAACGTTTATAACGACGAGCGGCTGAACAAGCCTATAAGAATTTTCACGGCGGATTACGTTTCGAGACAGCTGCTCGGCGTTACTTCGCAGACACTGGCCATCGCGCTTTGCTTTTTATTACAAAGAATGGGATTGAGCGTCACTACTGAAATCGAGCAAAGAGACATTGGGGCTGAGAGCAAAGTTTCATTAGAAGAATTGTGCAGGAAGGTGGTCGATCTCTGTTTAAAGAGAGGCCTTTTCACTACGTCCGTTCTCACTCAAGCTAGTGCGCTTAGCAGCACGCTCGAGAGTGCTTGGCGAAGGAAGCAGGGAGCCAAATTCGCTCAACAGTGCGTCGAAGTAGCTAGAGCGAGTATGCAGAGGCTTCAGCTTCAGCTGACTGCTCACCACTGGCTGCACGAAGATAGTCTACTCATGAGATCGAACGTTAATGTCATGAATCCCTTGAGTAAGATTCATTCCTCCGCTCCAAGTCTTTTTATTGGAATAAGAAATGTACATATTTTTATTTTATCGTTTCAGATCGTTCTGGATTTATGCTCGAACTTCGGAAAACAGCCGCGGCACTGTCCACTCTACAGTCTCGAGTGTGCGAGGCGCGCGAGCAACAACAGAATCTTGTGTCCAGCGCGGTGCAACGATTGAAGTGGGCTGCCGGAGCGAATCCAGCTCTAGGAGAAGTCATGTCCGCGTTCGATAACGCGGTACTTTCTTCGTGCGAAAAATTGACAAGGCAGCATAATCTTGCGACCAACGTCATCAACACTTGCAACTCTATACTGCATTACGAGGCTCTGAGGACCAGAACATCCGAGAGTTTGACGCACGACACGAATTTCGTTAAGCTGATTAAACATTGGGAGGAAAGCTGCCTCCTGACGATAAATTTGAACATAACGGTGACGGGGATCGAGGAGAGCCTCGTCGAGCTGTTGCAGATGGACAGTAACGTCGACATCAATTGGTTGAAGCAGGCCGAGCGATTTATCTCCGAGGCGATCTTGGACGTTCAGAAGAAATTGCAGGAGAAGCAAGAATGCTTGCTGTGCACTCAGGAACGTTTGAGAGAACAAGTGTCGAACTTGCAGAGCGTGCTAACCGAGCACCACAGATTGATGTCAGACGTGCGAATCTTATTACGAAGTATGGTGAAACAAGAGAACATCGATGGCTTGCAAGAGTTTCTCGCTTCCTATCGGGCTTTCACCGAAAGAATATCTACGATTGTTAAAGAACTCGAATCCGATGGTCTAGATGTGAGTAGGGGCAGAGCGATTAAAGAGGAGCTGGAGAATATATCGTCGACAGCACCGACTTTGTACAACGAATTATTAGAATTCGCCAATGAAAAGAGGACATTCGAGAAACAGAAAGACATGGACAAGGATAATGAATGCCAAGTTGAAACAGGCTTGATGAAAAAGAAAGGAAAGTTGATGAGGCAAGAGGGTGTGTGTTACAGCCCGAGGAAAGGACCGCAGGCGCGAGATCCGACTACGGGTAAAGGTGAGTTAATTGAACTTTCGCTCCTCTCACGTTTCTTTTATTTTTTTAATTTCCGTTCTTTACAGCTGTGCAAGAGCGAAATGCATATGCTCTGAACGTTTGGCATCGCGTGCGCATGAAGCTGGAGGGATGCGACCCTCATCCGACGCGCAAGTATACAACGGCCGAGCAAGTTGAGTACGTGATACGCGAGGCTCAGAGCACCGACAATTTAGCCCTTCTGTACGAGGGTTGGACACCATGGGTCTGAACGAAAGGGGATTGACGCGACCGCGTCGATGGTTCAATGCTCGTTACACACGGTACTCGAGTACGTGCCGTTCTTCGCTCTACGCTCGACGGAGCTAGCTCTCTGCCCGACCAGGCGTGAAGTAAACAATCTTCGTCGTCGCCTGGAAGAGAAAACGTTCATGCTCGCGAGAAAATGCCGTATCAAACTCGGCATGCGCGCATTTGGCATTCAAAGGAAAATTCCTGCGCGAGCCGCGATCGAATTTCGAATTCTCTGGCACCGTGGATTAGAAATAATTATTATCGGACGAATCCATATGCTGTTTGCGAATGGTTCGAGTTTCAGTTTGGGAATGTGAAAACGGGACCAAGAACGAGATGACACTGCTGCCGGAATCGCGTACAGTCACAGAGATTCATTGTCGAGGATGCCAGAAGAAAAAAAATCAAGTGTACTTTATGTATTTCCATTCGCAACTCAGTACTACTTTCAAATTTTCGTGATCGGTGCTTTTACTTTTCTTTTTTGTCGTTCTAAAGTGGGAGTACATATTTTTCCGAATTCTAAATCGATGATTTTCTCCAGACCGTACAAATCTCAGTGCAACTGATGAATTTTGTCTAATGAGGTCAATCACTGATCACAGTAGCTGAAAAAATAGAATGCCAGGGAAAAGATGATTATGCTTTAACGAGAGAAAAAATTATTTTCCGTATGAAAGTTGACGTCTGGAAATTCTGTTTTATTCTTTTTTGTTTTTCTCGGAGGTAACGGGGAGGAAGAGAAGCTCGCATGAATATTCATGATTAACAAGGCTTGTGCAGTACATAAAAAGATATGAAAAAGATGTATTCCCTTCGGTTTAATTACACTTTTCAGAAATGATCGTTTTTCTGTCTAGTACGCACCCGACTTCTTTCTCATTCTGTCTTTCTCAATTAAATCATATTATCTTGACCGTCTCCATTAACTCAGGAAATTATACTCACTGAAAGTCCTTTGATCCCGTTTCTCTTACTTTAATCAAAATTGTAAAACATCGTTGTACCAATGGAGACACGAAGCAAATACACTTTTCAATAAACGAAGGTAATTCTTTTTTAATAAATTACATTATATAATTCAATTCTATGTTACAATATCGAAAATTTTAAAATTATATTACATTATGTATCACGCTGCTCTCTCTTACGCTACTTGTATACAGTGTACGTGTGAACGCACGGATAATTGATTAATGTGAACTAATTAAAGAACCGCCCACATTGAACACTGCAATATAAATCAAATTTTACATTGCATATATTTTCAAATTTTACACAGAACTAAAGTCCAACACGATTGCTACCTAGAGTCGACAAGGAGAAAAATATATATACGAATTGATCGAAATAAACATCCCCCTCGAACGAAACTTTTTACAAGACAAGACTCTACGTCGATTCAAATCTAGAACCTCGAAAGCTTCAACTAAAACGATTTCACATCAGTCTCATTTACCATCTGTCATCTTAAATAACTTGGGCAACTTTGTCGTGATATCCAGTCAGTTGCAACTTGGCCCTTCGATCGACATCATTGTAAACTGTTGATTTTTGATAGTTCTACGCCCCTATTGTATTAAAACCAAGTTTTACCGTCAAACGGTTTCAAGTATCACGTTTCAAGAGTTGATCAATCTGCGTTTTGTACATCTCCTTCACGTCTTGCAAATCTAAACGCAATTCTTGATTCTCTTCCATCTTTTCCCCGTACATTTGTAACAACGCATCGTACCGCGTCTGTATTTCCTGCAAACTTTCGTTCAGTATCGTAACATCCACAACCTTAGTGTTCAATTCCTCGATCTTCAAAGTCAACGCGGATAATTCTGAATTTAGCGCATCTCTTTCCACGTTACGTCGCGACAACTCCCATTGGAGTTGTTGTATTTCCCCTGAAAATTAATAATCGACCACGTTAAAAGACTGAAAGTGCACAAAATTTATGTTGGAATTACTTGAAACCGCATTACCGTCTTTTTGTTTCAATTGAGCTTGCAAATTCTCAAATACCGAAGTACTACCTGACCCTGCTCTAATACTGTCGAACGCCATTGTATATCTCTCAGGATCATTTTCGCTAGTTGAGCTGTACAACTGAATCGGACATGCAATCAATCAGTTCACACCTTGATTTCAAAAGAAAAATAATCATTACGTACATCCATTACCGGCCATATACTATCTATCGTATTCGTAAGATCTTGTTCCACGCTAGTGCTCGAACTAAGCCGTTCATTGTCATCGACATTTCCCTGTTGTTCCGACATCGCATGATTCCTTCTCCTTTCCGCGTCCGTAGCTGCTTTCTCTACGGCCAATTTGCTCTCCAACGCAACGATCTCTCTCTTTAACTCCATCACCTCCGCGAAATGAGATTGCTCGAGCGTTTCTATAATTTCCCGTTGCCTGAAAATAATACTCTCTCTGATATCTCGCTGATCACTTCATAATGGGAACAGATTTAAAAAATGGAAACATTAATTACTGTTTAGTTTGCTCTACGAGCTCGTCCTTCTGCTTAACTAGTTCGTCGTACAGCTGTTGTAATCGCGTCCTCTCATTCTCTTTGGCAGCGAGCTTGGCCTCCAATTGAGATATCTTTGACTTTGAGTTAACGTTCTCTTCCTTGAGATACCGATCCGTCTCCAGTAAATTCTCTAATTTCGTCTGCAGCTCAATATTTTTCTCAGACAACGCCTTCTCTTGTTTCATAAAACTATTAGATTTGTGTAACAAATTTGCTTGTAGCTGCTCCAATTGTCGAAGCAATGGTTTGGTCGCCATCGACACAGACTCAGAGAGTTCCTCGCTTCTGGCTTCAGCGGCCTCCAAACGTTTTAGTAACTCGCTATTTTCGTGTTTAAGGAACTCCTCCTTCCTGTACAGTTACGAGGATATCAGAGTTTATTGAATATTCTAATTGATCGATCGTATCTGTAAAGATATTTACTTGACGTGCATCTCCTCGGATTCCCTTAATTTAATCTTCAGCTCTTGCATCTGCGCAAGCAATTGGCACGATTCCCCAGCGTTCGCTGTTGCTTCTTTTAATTCGGCTTCGGTCGCGGTTAAAATATTCTTTGTTTCAGTCAATTCCCTGGAAAGTAACGAATACATTCATTGTGCATGTTAATAAATTTTCTCAATTAATAACACGATTACGTTACTAACGCTTTCGTAACATCTAAACTCTTCTTGTATGTATCCGCGTTGTGTTTGGTGTTCTCTAATTGTTTCTGTAACGTTGCTATTTCTTTCTCCAGTGTTTTGGTCCTCGCTGTCAAGGAATAGACAGCATCTATTTGAGAGAGTTCCACTTCCTCTTTAGCTCGCAACGATCTTTTCAATCGCTCCAATTCGCAAGTTTGTTCCTCTATTTGCTCTCTATAATCATTATCCATTGCAATTTTATTAATAGTTACTATATTTTTTCTCGTACACTGTCTTTTTATAACGAAAAGGAAAACGAGTGTTACTTACGTACTTTTGGCTTTTTATCAAGAGATCGCTCTCTTTCTCCTTTAGTCGCAACTTTTTAATAATGTTACTGTGTTGAAGTTGCTGCTTACTCAACTTGTCCCCTTCTTCTCTGAGCTCTTTGATAATCTCGTCCTTCTCAGCGTTCAGAGAAGACATTTCTTGAGATGATAAACGCGTGGCCGCTTCTACTTTCAACTGGTCTAAATTTTTTCTCAACAAGTCTCGCTCGCGTATTGCCTGCTGAAATTTCCTTTCCAAGGCAGACAGCCGTTGCGTGTATTCGTCGGTGATTTGATTTAGGCTCTGGTTTTGCTCCGCGTATTTTTCAAAATTATCCAGCTGCCTAAAGATAGAAATAAATAAATAAATCCGATCCTAATTCGGTATTTATGTATAAAACTTACTTTTTTAAATTGTTGTTTTGCTCATGCAATTCCATATTCATTCTACTAACGTCGATAAGTTTTGATTCTCTGGCTTCCAGTATTTCCGTCATCTCTTGTATACGTTTCAACAATTTCTCTATCTCGACGTTCGCGTCGTCGGACCCTACGCTGATCTCGCTCAATTCTCTCGAATGCCCTTTGCTCTTCAACGTTCTCGATAAAAGATCACAGCTTTTCGTCGTTTGCACCTTCTCTCGCGATTGCGTCGAACTCGAGTCACCGTTCGGACTTGGTTTTTAAAAGAAACGATTCGTTATTAAACTTGGATAATACCCCGTAAACATTACCAACTATATGTGTGAAATTGAATCATGTTATAACTATCATAATCGTACCTATACCTGGATATGATTTCGATATCGCTGGAAGTAGTGGTTTCTAATTCGTCTCCACTAGTGTGTCCACTGGTCTGATCCGAACCAATTTTTATCAGATCGGATCGACTGGAATAATAGAAATCGAAATCATATATTTCTGGTAAAAACTTAATGTTTTGAGATTCATTTTTCGATACGATACCTTTCCGATGAGACCGGTGAATTCTCTCTTTGCATCTCTGTGCCCTGTATTTCCGGCTCGATGATCTCGCCACCCTTTTCAGCTATCGCATCTTCTAACATCGTCGTGACGTAGGGATTAGAATTTAATGATACTTTCTCTTCTGATTTATGCACTGATTGAGGATTCTCTTCCAAATTACTGTCTATCAAAGTTCCCTCACAGCTCGAGTCCGTCGAAATTAGATGCTGCTGATCCGAAGCCTCCGTAGCCTCCGACTTGACTGGACACTCGTTGATCGAATAACGTTCCGGTTCTGCAGGTTCTATGGTGGAACTGATCAATCGGTCGATTTCGCACTTCATTCCAGCTCCGTCAAAGTAATCTGGCTTACGAATCGGTTGTGTCGTGATCGCTTCGATTGGTAAATGTAAGTTGTGCTTTTCGCTCAAGGAGTCCTGGCTCAAGTTCAATCGCTGATCCGTACTCTTTTTCAACACCAATTTCCCATCTGGATACGAATCGTGCATCTTTATACTGGATGAAACACCGACAGGCTTCCCTTGCTCCTTTTGCTGCAACGTCTCTAATATCGTCATCACAGTAATTTCCGATGCCGACGTGTAAGAATCTTCTGCCAAGCTCGGCTCGTCGACTTCATCTGTATAAGGTATTATTTCCACGCTCTCCGGTGAGTTTTTCGACGAATTCCCACCGGAATTGCTTCTGTATAAATGCGATTCCGAGGCTGAGTACGTCCCCGTCGACGGCGTACTGTCCTCGCTCTTGATAAACGAATCGTCGTGCGAAGCTTTCGCTTCTTCCATCGGAGATTCGTACGGGGAGATATCAGAGGACGATGGATTTATCGAGTTTTCATTGCTCGGAATCTGTGGGGTATTGATATCGTCCCAGTACGGGGTCAACGCATCATCCCTGTCTATGATGGACGACGATTCAGAGTATCTTTGATCCGGAGATAAATAAGGACTGGAATCACTTTTCCAGTTACCCAAAATTTCTACGGAACTCGGTGACGTAACTAAACTGTCCGTCATTATTTCCACCGATTCGGAATTGCCTTTCATAACCGCGACCGAAGGACTCGCGGGATTGCTAACGGAACTGCCATCCGATTCGGGAGTCGTCGTGCAATCGGTGGTCGATCTGGAACCGAGGATTTCGACGCTCTCCAAGCTCTTCTTATCATTATCAGGAGATACGAAAGACAGTCTATGCGATATGGAAGCGGTGGAATCCGAATCGTGTTCGCAGATTTCTTTCCTCTCAGACTCCGACTTGTCGTCGTCATCTTTGACGTCTTCCTTCTCTGGACAAGTTTCAATTATCTGCGGGTTCTCTGTGTTACTTTTACAAGAATCATTGATCTTTGTATCTTTGTCGGAACTCGTAGCAACTGTCTCAGGCGAATCTCTCTGCTTTGAAGCATTCAAAGTAGTAACATCTTGTTCAGGAACGTCTTGATCTTGATCATGGACACTCTTGGCTTCGAAACTTTTCGTCTGCTTGGATGTCTTCCATGTACTCGAGGTTTTATTCGTGTAATCTTCAGGGAACGATGACGAAGACATAAGCTTCTTACCACTTTCGGTGGGCGTGTTCTGCAGCGATTTAGAATGAAAATCACTTGCAGAGTGTTTTGCTTCATTGAACTTTGGTGACTCAAAGAATGATCCAGTGAAACTACCCCATATACTGCTCGAGGCTTCTGGCTTAGGTTCCTTGAACTTCTCATGGTGCACATCGCTGGGACCTTCACTTTTCAATCCCCACGAGGCAAAAAAGTCTGCCGCGTCCTCTGTATGGCTCTCCACTGGCTTCTGGTCCTCATCTTTGATATCTAATGCCTTGTCAATTGTTTTCTGAGCTTCCTTCAAAGCAGATTTGGCCAAATTGGCAAATCCAGTGGCGTCAAACCAACTCATTCTTTACTGCACCTACAGTTAAAAGGAAATATGTAACTTGTAGAATGATCAAAGGTTACCCTCTTGATAATGTTTATAAGCCACAGGAATTATTTTGTGAATACAGTCACAGAATTCATAGACTGTTCAAACTTATGAGGGGAATTGTAATAAACTACGATAAGAAAGCTATTCATTGTTCCTTTGTACCAAAAATGTAATAGCAGGAGGAAATGAAAAGCGTCGAAACGTGCAAGTGTCAGTGGCAATAATTTGATCTTGTAAATATCATACTTACATGTATTCACTCGCATATCGTTCCTAAAGTCTTTTCTAATGTGCAAAACTCATGAATCCTTGAGAATGATAAAAAACAATGATGAATTGGTTCATATTAATTCGCACGAAACTGTTACATTGGAACGATGCTACTGACGCACACATGGTGCTGCATGGTGCATGTATACATATATATTATGTAAAAAAGAGTTTCTTTTGTATATATATATATTAATCATAGTAATCAAGTGCAACTCAATCAATCCGAGACTACATACACGGGGAAGGAAATGCGAGAAGGATCGGTGGATGGGTGCAGCTTATCAGACATTTAACAATGCCACACTTGAGATCTATTCCAGATATCCGATATACAATTCGTTAGAACAAACGAACGCTTTTTTAATTAACTTTTACATAACGTTGACATGTTTTTACGCGTCAACAGAACGATCACTACAAGCTATGCTGGCCACAAATTGTGCATACGTGTACGTATGCACATGCATGCAACACACTACATAGCAAATAGATTTTACTATATATACGTAGTTCCTTTCGTAAATAGCCTGTATTTCCATAAAAGCATGCTGTATTACGAAAAATGTTCTCGAGTCCGCTATGGCAAAAGTTTGGATAGTTACACTAGCGTACAATAAATGATATTTTTTGTTTAATAACCGAGGACCTGAAAGCTGTTCTTAGAGAGGAATATTTCCAATAGCTCCAGTGGCGCAATTGGTTAGCGCACGGTACTTATAAGACAGTGAATCGTGAGCAATGCCGGGGTTGTGAGTTCGAGCCTCACCTGGAGCAGATTTTTTGCTCGATTTTTAATCACTATGAATGATCTAACAGCAGGGACGAGGCTGGTTACATTTCGCTTGCATTTATTAATTTATTTGGATTTCACGATGAACGACTCGGCATGTACCAAGCGTCCAGTTCCTCGCACAGTTTCAGCCCGAGCGTGAATAACAAAGCGGACGCTAGTATGCTTCTGACGAAAGTGTCATCTCTCAAAGCACGTATGACACAGGAAAGGGAACAAGTACAGACATCGTCGAAGTAACCAAAACCCTTGTTCAACAGATAATCATCTACGATTCTTTGCCTCTCGTCGAGTCTGCGTAGTCTTTCCTCTACAAGGAAAGCGCGTCAAGTAACACGTGATATTATCTATTAGACAATGTTTAACAAAGTACACTTGCTTCGCGATATGCGTCGGGGACAGTGAGGATCGCATTCGTCTAAAAACATTCTCTTATCAGCAGCTCCTTCGATATCTTCATCATCAGCAGTAGCAGCAGCTACACCAACTTCAGCAACACCAGCAGCAGCAGCTACACCAACTTCAGCAACACCAACACCAGCAACAGTAGCAGCATCAGCATCTAGAGCAACATCCATTCTTCCTGGCTCTCCTACGTGTCTAGAAATTCGATCCACAGCATCGGTTTCGACCAACTGATCGCGTGCTGCAAGACAAGGACCAGGTATTCAGCCATTCGTTCAAGATCATCTGTGATTTACCTCCGCGAGCAGCAGACCACTGGGTCGCGATTTCTTCCCGAGCTCTTCTCGCCTCTAGTGTCTCTGTGTCTATGTCTCTGAGACCGGGTCGACCGTCGACGTCTCTAAGACCGGATCGACCGTTTACCTCTCTAAGACCGGGTCGACCGTCTACGTCTCTAAAACCGGGTCGACCGTTTACCTCTCTAAGACCGGGTCGACCGTCTACGTCTCTAAGACCGGGTCGACCGTCTACGTCTCTAACGCCGGGTCGACCGTCTACGTCTCTAAGACCAGGTCGACCGTCTACGTCTCTAAGGCCGGGTCGACCGTCTACGTCTCTAAGGCCGGGTCGACCGTCTACGTCTTTAAGACCGGGTCGACCGTCTACGTCTCGGAGACCGAATCGAGCGTCTGCGACTCGGGGACGGGTTCGAGCGTCTACGTCTTCGAGACCGGTTCGAGCATCGACGAATTGTTCCGCTTGGCCCCAGTCCGCATCGTAGATGTCTAATTCTTTACCAACGACCGCTGCTCTTTCAGCAAAAGCTTCTTTCTTCAAGATCCACGGTGCTTCCTTGGCTAGAAACTTGCTCCGTTATACTTGGAGAACGGGAGTAACGAGGTTATTCTAATGGTACCTAATTTCTTTAGCTGGAGCTTCACTAAGGGACACCATGGCTCGCATGCCGGCATTTAGATCGTCACCGAAATCCGTTTTATTTCATGAGAGGAGCTGTCGAAAGTCCCATTGGACTTTCGATCGAGGAATCGATCTCTTGTTAGTCCGTTTGACGGCTTGTCATCGCAGATTGACAAATGATTTCCGCGTCTTCAATTATCATATTGATAGTTGATTGATAGCGTTTGAATCAGGTTGTACGTTCCGCCGAATCTTATGTCATCGCAAGAAAATTTCGAAGCGTACATTTGTGGAATAGATTCGAACGAATTTACGGAGGAATCGAGTTCGGTTCTATGCCCGATATCCAGTCAATCTTATTGTCCCGAATCTTGTGTAAAAGAAGAGCTAGAAATTACGGATGATGAGGATGAATCGTTGCCTTCGAATTACTTGAATAAAAATCTCTTTCGGTTGTTGATACCCGCTTTAGAGGAAACGCTTATCGAAGCATCTAAATGGAAAGCTCTTCGGGTATTCTACGTTTCTCAGTTCAGATATTTGGGTTTTATTGACTGTACAAGAATCGCGAATGTATAATCGCAGGTGCAAAAGTGTCGTTTCAACGGTGTTGATCACATAGCGCAAATACTATGGAATCAGAATCCCCGTCGATCAAAAGTATATTCGCCACCCCTAGATTTTTTTGAAATTCCAGTGTTTAAAGAATATTTGCGCCTACAGTAAGCAAGCTTGAATTTATGTCGAAAAATAGATTACTCTGTACATTTTTATATTTAGTCCTCGACCAAATTATCCAAAGTCTTGGCTGTGGACCGACGAAGAAGCAGCTTTACATATACAAAGATATGTTCGCGGTTGGCTTGTACGGAAACAGGCGGAAGTGCAAGAAATGAGACAATTTTGGAAGGTAGAAATTTCTATTTACAAAACGTCATATCTACTGATCTGCTCCATTATTGACTATCAATTACATCTGTAGGAAATCGCTGGTCGAGTCTTTGAAAAGGGAACCTGTATCGTACAACCGCAAAGAGTTTCAGGTTCATATTTTGACAATGAAATCGTGGTAGCGATAGTAATAGATTTAATTAACTTTCAGTTAAGCCACAGGACGTGCCAATCGCACAAGAGGTAATTGATGAAGATTTACTTCGTTGCAAAAAATACCGCGAGATAATTTATGCTAGTAAAAAGAAAGAGACATGAAGATGTTCTGAAACGATACTTGTATCATGATGAATGAAATATTTAATTAACGTAGTCTGATACATCTTAGCGTTTAATGTTCGCGTACAAACTAGGACTTGCTGGTTCCCCTAAACCCATCTCTACGTTAACAGTAGGAGTTTCACCTTCCTCTGCAACTCTATAATTTTTTATACCTGAGAGATTGTACTTAATTTCTAATTTCAAATCTTTTATTTCTTGCTTCTGCTGTCTTGCCTGGCGAATTAATAATTCTTTTAATAAAGGGGGAAAATCCGTGGTTCGTGGTAAGATTCTTTCTTCAGGTGTCTCAGTAGAATTTAAGAATTTTTCTTCTTGGTCTTTAGGGATCAGCATATAGTCTGGTTTGTAAGTAGTCGTATCTAGTTGCACAGGTTCAGGTACTGTTTTACCACGAAACACTTGCTGTACTAATACCATTACAGATCGTGGATCCTAGAATACATAATTATTTATTTGACAATCGTAATATCTTATTAATACGTACGGGACAATAAGAGAACGTACATGTGGATGTTGCGAGGTGTCCGGTAGCGCAGCAACTTTTAATATCCTCATGTAAGACGCTTCAGCATATCTTTGCTGCTTGTGTCGTATAACCATTCTACCGACTCCATGATTTTTTAAATTTCCCAATATTTCCCACAATGGCTTTCCTTTGAAAGTGTTCGTCCGTCCAACATATTTTATTGGCATCTTTTTTAACCTCTTTCAAGCTCCTACACTTTGCACGATGCACAAAGCTTTGCATACTATCCGAAATCCGAACCAGTGTTAGTGTTGGACACTGATATGAACAGCTGATTTCTTGCACGCATGCGTAATGAATGGACGTTCCAACTAACGGGCACGAAATTTATGTAATAAAAACTTTTTAATTTAACCAAATACATGATCCTGTATTATTTGCGCTTGTCTAAAATATTTATGCTATTGAGAGAATGACTGAAAATAGGTAACAGTTAAAGCTATTGAGCTCTATCTTAATTGCATTTATAAATCGGCGACTCTTAAAATTTAAAAAAAAGTCGTCATTACACGGGCACTGCCACTCTAATAACAGAGAGAAATTAATAGTATCTCCGGTATTTCCTCGATGACGTTACCTTTTCCTCTCGCGTACGAATGTCAGCGTCAGGAGCTATCTACGTCTTTGAATCTTCAATCATCTTCCAGTATGATGGATATACGATATACATACGTGACTCGTTGTATACATACCAGCTACTTGGTCAAGGAAAGGTGGTAATAAAAATGAATGAGATAGGTGAACATTTGATTCAAGAATCTCTTATTCATCAAATATACATCAAATGGTGCATTATGTATTACGTAGCCGCTTGAGTAACAATAACACAAACAAATGAACTATTACCATTCGATTTCGCTTTATATATATATACTGCACATTTTTTGTTTTTAAAAAATCAACGCTCGAGTGATTCTCTGATAGATATATTCATTCTCTTCTTTCAACTTATTACATATCTTAAACTACATAGAGAAACGTCATTTTGTACTTATAATAACATTACATAGTAAACGCGACTAAAACAATAAAAATTAGATCCTTAGACGTGTATCTTTTGTTTCGAATTTAAAATTGTCTTACCGTTCCCCGTAAGTTCTTGCGATTTTTAAGTTGCTGGGCAGATTACTCATCCTATCTAGAATTCACGTATTTTCATCTTACCGCGTTTCCTCCCTTACTCAAAATTGTTCGCGCGTCCAATTTCATTCACCTTACTAAAATTCCTTAATAATTTTTTATACGATTTATACAGTCCTCTATAAAAATGAAAATATCAGAGAACTATAGTGTTACCTTAACGCAACGTTTTCGTAGTAGACTCATTTGTTAAACGAATTGAAAATCCGTGAACGGTAATTCTCCTACGTCTGTACAAGAGTTTCTAACGTCGAGACCTCCCTTGCTTCAAATCAATCGAGAAATCATTACACCGTTCCCTGTAATATCTTGCCACGTTTCATCGAACAAAATTCTACTACTGTCGTACGGTTCAGATGAATTTGATTTGGGTACCTTGTTTTTAAAATAATCCGCTACTGTAACATTCGATTACTATGCGGTATAATACAGGCGATAAATATATATTTACCAATGTACAATATAGGTACGAAAAGTATCTTGGCCAATTTTTGGTAATTTCGCATACAGTTCGGATATAGATATCGTGTGAACGCAATTTTCATATCTCACGGTTGAAAGATACACAAAAGTACATTCGACTCATCTAAAGATTGTAAAGTATATCATCCACCTTCCGAATATGAAAAATTGTACGGTATTCCCATTTCTTAACTTATTGTTTCACATCGTTTTTAATATCTTATTATGTTCACTAAATTCGACCCTGTAATCTCAACGTCGTAAATCATAATCTCATACACATGTCCTTCGTATTTCTTGATGAGTTGATCGCTGCTCAGGTAGAAAAATCGATTCATGCGGGTCGACAGAACCAAACGAGCGCCAATAGCTGTCCGGCAGATCTCTATTAAATATACGCGTTCAGCTGATCATATTCTTTTCGATTATTTTCTAAACCGAGTAAAACAGAATTCATGTCCGTGGTCGATAATTGTACTTTTTCTTTGCCTCCAACTATTGGCGCGGATGAAATTTCTTCCTTCTGCCCCAGAAGCTCGCTACGTTCTATTACTTGAAAATCGCCGTTCGAATTTGTTTCGAATTCGAGTCGTCGCGGAAAAACGAATTGCGTTAACGGTTCTGCGAGTCGACGACCGGCCTCGCGTCAGCGAAAGTCCCGACTCGAAGGATTCGCCTTCGGATCGTCGATTCTTCGTTTTTAGTTTTCACTTTCGATCGGCGAAATTTTGAAAGGGTGATGACGACAACGAATCGGCACAGGCGTCTCTCGCTCCTCTCGTTTGTTCCTTCCGCAATTGAAAATCCGACTGACCGGCCGAGAGCTTGTCGGTTTCTTCTCGCAACGTTCTCATTTTCATTCTTCTAGTTCTTGAGACGCGCCCTCCAATTTCGATAATGATGTACTCGTCGTACCGATTAATATAAAACATGAACGTGATTGCCTGGCTTGAATTACGAGGAATGAACGATGATACACGCGTCATCTACTTTTTCCAAATTACGATCGTTCAACTTATTGTTTCGCGACCGGCTCGACGAATCGTCTCGCTATTTCGTTACGATCGTTCGTAGACAGTGATCAACGACGTTTATGATGGTGAATTTTTTATTTCATTATTTTTCGAGGAGTCAACGACGGCGCTTATGCGCCTGTAAACTTCTCTCATTCATATCATTATTAATCACTGCCTGGAAACGTTTGGACGATTAAAACGATTACATCTTTTTGATCGGATTTTACAATTGTTAGTAATATATATGTTTTTTTCATTTTATAATAATGCGCGACGCGACGTGTCGCACGTTTTGATAAAATCGAGAGTTTCGGTTTAAAATTCGGGAATTCACTCGCGTTACTTCATTACTCACGATAAGAATACGTATATACAATTAATCATCATAATTGGTTTTTTTTATTCGTCAGTCGTTATTGAGCAGGACGTTATACTGATCCGACGTTGTGCTAGAATTAGAACCAACAAATCAACGAGAATGAGCAAACGCAAGGACAGCGAAAAACGACGATTAAATTAGTGCAACTCTCTTTTAAGGGAGTTTACTTGATGTTTACACAGAGTCTTATGGGAAAATGAATTTTCATCGACATTTTGCTATGCAACGAATACGTTCGAATGAGTGCGACATTGTCACATTTTATCAGATGTTAATTTGTTTGACGCAAGAGCTCAATTTTTTTATTAACTTTTATTGCGAATGTCAGAAGTCATGATTGATTATTTTAAAAATTCGTATGCATTCTTCAAATATTAGTTTAATCCTACAGAAAATTTTAAGTAAGTTTTATCGTTAATTGTTTAGATTAGAAAATTCGCAAATTTTTGAACCATTATATCTCAATTATAAAGCAATGAAGAGCCTTGAAATTTTTACACAAATCTTTTCATATGCAAACGAAAGCCCATGTAAAATTTTAGCTAAATCTTATCGTTAATTCAATTATCAAGTAAACTACCTTAAGTTACGCGCATACGTTTGTTATAAGTACCGCGTTTCGTTTGAAACACCCGCCCGTCGTTCCTTTTATTTAAAAGTTTAACTGTGATCGAGGCTCGCAATCAGAACAGCAAACGAACGGTAAAGTCGAATTTTCGGGACTCTTTTCCTTTTCGAAGATTAATCGCAATATGCGTGTGTCGATCGAGGGTGGGTCAAGAGAAATCAGTTGCTCGCATGCAGGGGAAACAAAAGAAACGATTAGACAGAATCTCTGATCGATCTACTGCGGAGACCCGAGTCATGAGGAGAGAACTCGTTCAAACGATAATCGTTAATTGAAACGAAGCACGCACAGGGAAACCAAGAAACAGTTTTCTCCGATACTTATCTCCTACCTCTCACCCTACACTGTACCTCCTTCGTATCCTTGCGTTACTCGCGACACACTTTTTCTTTTTTTTTGTTTTTTTTTCGTATTTTTTTTTGCAAGGGGCATTGACAACGTTTTGTTCACAATTACACTTGCTTGGAAATAAAGTTCTCTACGATCTCGTCTCCGGTGAACCGCAAATTCAGTCCGTTTGCATAATTTTTTTTTCTGTTTTTTTTTATGCTTTTTCTCATTCCATCTATATATTTCACATTGAACGATATCCTCAGTCTCGACTGGTCAATGAGCAATACTTTTAGAGATCACGGCTTTCAAATCGAGACCTCGATAGAGAGAAAGAGAGAGAGAAAGAGAGAGCTCGAAGGAGAGTAACGTGCGAGAGTTTCTTTTTTTTTTTAAATGTGACACTACCGTTTCGATCGATCTTATTTAAGTTACCTATATTTTAATTATACCTCTCGTGATAATTGCGTAGTCAGGTCGAGTTTCCTTCCCGTTTACGTGAACGTCACTCGTCTCTTTTTCGTTTCATTCTTCTTCTCCTCTTTTGGTTCGTCTCTTTTCGTCTCGGGTCGTGTCAATGTTAATCATCGGATTAAACATGAATGCTTAACAATGACTCGTTTTAATTCCGTTCAGACTGAGGATTAATTTTATTTTTTTTTTTTGTTTATACATGGAAATTATTGTTGCTGGAATAGTTGGTTGTTTCCTTCTTTTCTTTGTCAATTATATTTACGTTATTATTAGTATTATTTATAAATTTGTTTGCATGTAGTTTGTTTTCAACAGGCCGTGGCTATACAGGGCCCACTACATTGATTTTCAACCCTTGTGGCGCGCGGTCTTCCGAAATCATGTTTACACGGTGTGTGTTTCATATATATGTGTGTATAATTAAATACGCTCGCGTTTAAATCCTTACACCGTTCTCGTCTCCTCCCTTTTGCTCTTCGTTTTACGTATAATACATATAATTATTTATAATTATATTCGAGTCGACTACTGCCTACCGTACCGAGCGTTGTTATTTCGTTGCGCTTTCCGTTGGTCTTTTAATGTATGATGATCGAATTTGAGGCACGGATTGCTGAAAAAAGTCTTTACTGTCCAAGTACACTTTGTTTATTGGTATCGATTTTTAAAAGCGTACGAGAGCCGATCGGCGTACACCGTTCCCCGTGGTAGCGGTGGTTCGCGTCGAGATATACGTTTCTCTTTTGATTACGGCGGCGACACGCAAATACGATGTCTACGGGGACACGGTACGTTCCAATAGTCGTGCGACAGACTTTCAAGTTTCTTTTTTAAACGCGGGCTGACTCAGTCTCTTGTATCGTTTCCCTCTCGCTGTTTGATCCACGGTATACGCGCGCGTCCAAAGCGAGCCAGACATCTGGCATCTTTGATTATTATCGTATCATTTTATGATTTTTATCCATTATCCTCAGACTTTTTACATCTTTCCGAAAATCAGAATCATTGCTCGATCGACATCGGTATCAGTGCTAGGCAACCGTCCAAGCGTCGAGCTCATCCTTTTTCATTAATTTTCGTTCGTCACGTTTGTCAGCGAATTTTGATTCCGAATCAGAGCGATGCCCAACACTGGCTCGTGGATCGTCGCGACGCGTTTAGTTATGCATGTTGACCCCTTCGTCGTCGTGGAACAAGTAGGTGGACCAATATGCCAAGTTGAACAGTATGAAGGTCAGAGGGAAGCCGATCCGCGAGACGAAATCGATCCACGCGGTACCCTTCGCTCGGCAGGCGAACCAGCGCCGCGGTATAAGACCCCAGCAGCACCTCTCGGTACGTGGTAGCGCTAGTCGTGGAAAACGGCGAACCTGTTGCGGTTGGGGGATCGCACTAACAGTCGTCGCGGGCGGTGAAGGCGTCGCTCGTCGGGAAGCGATCGGCGAGGGTGACGGCGACGGTGTGGGAGTGCCGGACGCCGAGGATCTCGCCGGACTCCTGTAGGAGTGCCGCGAGCCCCTCGGCGACCCGGAACGAGCACCGCCGCTCGCCACCTCGGCGTGCAGCGACGAGAACGATGCCGATCTCGTTTGCTGCTGCCTCTGATGGAGATGGCAATACTGAGGTTGGTGTTGGTGTTGATACCTCTGATGATGCGATGGAAGCGGTAACGTTTGATGTTGATACGACGACGTCGGCAGCGGTGGCGATTGCTGCTGCTGCTGCTGCTGTTGCTGCTGCTGCTGCTGCTGTTGCTGCTGCTGCGACGCTTGTTGTTGTTGTAAACTACGGCGTTGATGATGCAAACGATGATGATGGTGACGACAGTTGTACGGTTGATGGTGATGACGAGTACGCGAACGATGATGAGGGGGTGACGGTTTAGCGGTGAGCGTCGTGGTGATGGTGTTGGTGTTGGGCGTGTAAGAATAACGGGAAAGGCCGCGAACCACGTTCCTTGATCCCAGCGCTTCCTCGTCGACGCTTACTCGTCCTCCGCTTCCTCCCGAAACAGGTACGTGGACCAGTACGCGAGGTTGAAGAGGGCAAAAACGATGGGGAAGAAGATCCGTGAAATGACGTCGATGCGCTTGGACCTCGTCGGGAACTTGGACAGCCACGACCTGCAGCAGTTTTTTTTTCGTGGTTGCATATGTACTTCGCACTGCTGCATCCTATCCATCGACAGGGTATCCTCCGGCTGTCGGACCAGAGGTTTCTGAAAACAATTGCCACGTCGTCGAGCTCATTAATTTACCCGTCGATCCTCGATCCGGTCTTTCAATTGGTAATCAACTACGGCTTTGGTTTAGTTTCATTACTCTCTCCTCGGTGGATGCATCGGGTAATTGGAGAATTCACAAATCAAACTCGATCCGACGACGTCATCTCCTTTACTGTGTCACGTTCGTGACGATCGATTTCTGAACCCTCCACTTGACAATTTTTAACTTTCACGTAAGATCGAGAGCTACGGTTGATAGAGAGTGGATACGGTGACTAGTCAATGATCTGCGGGCCGAGTACATGAGGTGCAAGGTGTACAGTTTCCTAGTAGAATTCGACGGTCGAATGCAGAGCTAACAATCAGAAACGAACGTCGTGGCTCTTCCGGTCGTGGTTCGAAAATTGAAAGAACATTTAATACGTAAAGCTGACTGCGGTGCAATTTTCGTCGATCGACAACGTTCGACGTTTTACTTTCGACTATTTTTAAGTTGCACGTTCATGCATCGGGTTTCGATTCTTTCGATCGCGGAATAGATGAGAGAAGAGCAATCTAAATAGTGAATGAGGAAACGTTCCCTCCGTGGGATCTTGTTCTCATCAAATAGGTACAACAACGAATTAGTCGTACAATTATCATGCAGTACAATATATGTATACTGGTGGTGCCGAAACGATCTACACACACATCCAGCTTTGATCAACGATAATCGAAAAATGATCATTTGCCATCCCGGGTATTTTCATTTATACTTTTCCATTTTCACAAGAATTCACAATGGTACAAATTCATGGGCATCAATGATCGTGAACTCGTTTGTTTAATAACCAGTACTACAACTGTGATAATGACTTCCTTGCCGTCTACGTTCGTATAGCAGGCATTCGTTCGACAAAATTGTAGTAGTCATTACTAGCAAACTCTAACATACGATTAATAGATCTCTACGATGATGTATCGATTAATTACCAAACGCTGAAAGTCACATTATCAGAGACGTAACAAATCAGAAATTGGATGTAAAAGTAAACTAGAGACGTTAAATTGGATTATTTACCTGTAGAGATTGTTGAAATGGTCCATCATATCCGGTCTAGCAGTTTACAATAATAAAAAGTAAAATAATAGAATGAATGTACGTTATTGATAGCAGCTAGATTCAGAATGTTTTCAACGTTATACATTTCAGGCAACTATATGTCATTGTTGAAAGAAAAGAAGGAAACTAAAATGTACAAGAAACGAAACACGTAACGCTTTACCAATGCTCTAAATGCTTCGTCCAACATTTTGCGAACAGCTAATAAAGTACGGAATTAAACGACTAATTAAAGGAACGAAAACAAGCTGAGAGCTCTAAACTATCGGTTAACGCGCGGTAGTTCAAAACGTTTTTATCACTGACCAAAGGTGAATGTTGCCGGAAAATCAGATTTACTTTTCATTTCTTATTTCACGATCTCGTTATACTATAGAAAATCAGAATCGCAATGGTGGCTTAAAAACGAACGAAAGAAATGTAACGAGTAAAAGTATGCGGAGATGGAAGCAGAAGCGTAGGCCATAAAAATACTAAAAAAGTACTCTAATTAAAAGGCTAAATAAAGTAAATTAGGAAGGAGTAGGACTTCACTTTTATTATTCAAAAATTCGACGCTGTTATTCTAGCAAGGAATGTTATGCCAATATTTAGTCGGGATCACACATCCGGATTTTTCAGGAACGGGAAAGTGTGTAGGTAGATACAATTTTCATTCTATAGATTTATCAGGTCATAGAGATAGGGTCTAACGAAAGAAACAGAATAAGCGTTTCTCAAGGGCTGCACGTTGAAAGCTGTAATTATCGTTGGATACTGACCATAGCGAAATTCGACGAATTGTCCGGTTCGACTTGATCCGAGGACAGATCCATCGAGGTCGACTGTTCCGTTTCAGACGGCGGATACTTTTTCTCTATGTTATCGCTGTGCATGTCGCTACGCGAGGCGTAGTTCACCAACGCGAACTCTAGTAGAGCGCCGAACACGAAAGTCAAGCATACACCTGTCCAGACGTCAATAGCCTTTGTATAAGAGACTGGTGGCAGTGAGGCATTTATTCCCGACGTCTGCGTGGCCATCGTCAACAAGGTTGTTACGCCTGTTGGTTAAAAAAATCCAGTCTTAATTATCATATATTTCCCGATAGTCTTTTAGTATTTATTCTAAGGGGCCTTATCAGTGTGAAATTTTAGAAAGATCGTATTGTTTTTTTGGATTTTTTGAAAGTTATTAGAAATAGAAAAGATTATTTTACAC